CACGTTAAATAAAAAAACGCGAAAAGTTAAACTATTTGTCATAGAAAATACCACAAACTTACTTGGTACAGATTGGATAACAGAATTTCAATTATGGGATCTGCCGATAAATTCTTTCTGTTACAAGCTTGAAAGTTTATACTCAGAATCCCAGAAATTAGTAAAGAAACTTAAGGGAACATTTCCTACTGTTTTTCTCTAAGTTTGGGAACGTGTACCAAGATGGAAGCAAAATTCCAGCTAAAAGAAAACGCCCAGGCGGTATTCAAAAAGAAAAGGAATGTGATGTTTGCTTCAATTGAACAGATAGATAAAGAATTGGACAGATTACAGAAAACCGGTGTATTTAAAAAAGTTGAATGGGTAACACCGACGATATATGTGAAAAACAAGCTCCAGAAAGTAAAGATGAAGCCGACACCGAGAAAAACTGGGGAGAGAGTTACCCGCAGTCAAGGACAGGCAGTGTTATTAAATGATTTAAGTCAACTGAAGTCACCACAGAAAACGTTCAGAGGCACCAGATCAACAAAAGGGAAACTAGAGGCTGAACAAATAGAACCACAAGAAGAACCTACAGAAACTGTGACTCCATCCTTAAGAAGCTCAAAGTGGTAGGTTGTTTCTGGTAACACTATGGAGGTATAAAAAAAAATAGTAAAGCGGATTGGCTATATGATGTACTTGGTGAAAGGCGAAATATTCACGTGCAGTAACCAGATCAGACGACGTTCTTCGGACGTGCTTGACAGCGGTCCCGCGGAAAAAACGCCGATGGAGGTGATTTTCAATACGTTTGATCTAACAACGCCTGCAACAATTTTACCTGAGGTACGCCGATCCAGAAGAAAAAAAGAAAGGCAACTGATCATTCAAAAGTGAAAAAAACAAAACAAAACAAAAAAAAAACAAAACAAAAAAACGTAGGAAATACGCTACGATGTTGCTAAAAAAATGAGATTTTCTTCATATTTCCTGTAAAAAAAAAAAAAAAAAATAAATAAAGAAAACTTTTTACTCCTACGGAGTAAAGTTTTGGTGGGGATGTTATACTGTAACATACCTATTCTATAGTTAATAGACTCTCCCACCTATAATAAGTAGTAGTAATAGTAACGAGTCGCTAAGTCAGTGGCTAAGTGGAGTTGAGTGAGTCAGTCGATGTCGGACATTAAAGTATCAGCCACCACAACTAGATTGCTGCGTCATTAACTATTATATCAAGTTCGTAACGTTTTGTACGTCGAACCTTTTTAGGACCGACTTAGTGAAATACAAGCCTCCACTGTGAAAACTACTCTACAACACTTTGAATGCAGTTTCTGCATCTTCTTTGGAATGGAATGGCTTTTGGCTTTAAAACATTCAAGATGTTTGGAAAAGTGGCAGTCATTGGGCGGAAGATCAGGGGAATATGATAGATGTAGCAAAGGCGCGTATCCGAAGTTGGTGAGCTTCTGTAGTGTCATACTGGTAACATGTGGCTGAGGATTGCCACGTAGCAGTATTGACCCATTGCCGGTCGCATTTTGCCTAAAGTGTATGTGCATTTCATCCATTTTTAAAAAGTTATTTCACCCTAAGCAAGCGGATAATGCCACAAGGCTTCAGGACGTTAGAAGTCGTGAAAGAAAATGGGACGGCTTTAGCGAGGAGAAGCTAGGAAAGAACAAGGAACAGGCTTAAGGAAGACAGAAGATGGCAGTTGACGTTGCATTAAAAATTTTGAAGTTTGTAGTTGGCAGGGAAGCAAGAAATCGGAAGGGAGTTCCTCAGGTGTGAAGTGCTGGGAAAGAAGCTGTTAGAATAGAAATGGCGGCTGACGGCGCAAAATTCGGTAGGTGGAGTTCTAGATACATTCCTGAAAGCTGTAATAGATAAAATGAATGGCAGACAACCAGACAGTCAACATATCTTCTTTTGATGCCATTTCAGTTTCGGGAACTGTTTGGGTTCTTCGTCAGGATCAAGCCTTTGAGACGATCATTTACGATTGTCAAGAAGGATTCACTTCTTATAAGTCACTAGAAGCATGGCCCGGCGTTGCCCGTGCTTGATTCAAAAATCGTACGACTCATACAGCACTGCACGCACTAACCTGTTTCTTCCCGCGCATAGCGTGACCTTAAATTAATCTGCATTTAGGAAATACCCAACCGGAAAAATATTTCTAAGGGTTGACCGATTGTCCATTTGCACTCTGTTTGGAGGGGGGGGCGCTCAGAGTTGAAACTTCACATGGTGACTCCCAATGGCCTCCTACTAAATCTGATCGGATTTCGCTAAAAACCGACATGCGGTTCAGGTGCAATCTGGGCGTATCGGCTTTTAGGTTTTATCGATTTTCCGCGCTGTTTAGGGGTCCGTGGTCATGAAAATTCTGGACAACACTTCTAAAGGTAGACTCTGAGAGGGTGTCAAATTTGGTTGAAATGCAATAATTCCTTCTGTAAGCAGATGTTTTCGATTATCGATTTTTTCGGAACCTGAGTCCGAACTGAAAAATAGGGCTGCGTCATGTCCTTAAGGCAGCCATTTGCAAACTTGTGGTGAAAACCGCATCGAAATCGGGTGAGAAATGCGGCCTGGGCGAGGTAACAACGCCCACGACAGACACACAGACAGACAACATGAGAAATATAGATAGTAGATTATCCGTTCAAGAAATGGATCATTCGAATTCTTGAAAATTGTCGTTGGCTGCGAAGCAAGAAATGGAAAGGGAGTTTCTCGGGTGTGAAGTGCTGGAAAATAAAGGATTCACTTCTTATAAGTCATTATTCGTTCAAGAAAAGGATCATTCGAATTTCTCAGATGCAGAATCGTGTGGAACCCATTTATCGAGTTTTTTTTTCTTCCTCTTGCCAATCTTCTTGAGATGGCCTGATATTTTTGGAATACTGACAACCGTTATCTTAGACATCTCTCTGCCACTTTGACGAGGGTTTTATTCAACTAGTCTTTTCAGATATTGATCACCAGTTGCAGATGAACATCCCCTACTACCTTAATCTTCAAGACTGCGGATCTTCAGAAACTGGCAGCGTACTATTCAATCATAAGTGAATTCTTCAACCCATGCTCTGTTAATGATGGCAGTAGTTTTAGAAGCATTCTGACCAATATTGAGTTGACGCAAAAAAAAAGTAATCCTATCTCTTCTTGTTTCATGTTCAAGATGAAAGGGTTTATAAAGTTTTAAGTTAAATTCTTAAAGGACACTTTAATTATTAAGAATTAAGAAATATTTTCGTGCAGCTATAATAATTATTTTCCGAGCAACCGAATTAATCTTTACTCTAGCGTCGTATATGTTGCTAACAGTATGCGTGTCTATATGTATTTCTTGTATGGTATTTTATTGTGTCAAAATGGTCACTGTTCTGGTTAAATGATCCCCAATCATCTCTCGTTCAAATCCGTCTATCTCTTTTTATCATTCGAAATTTATGTTCTTAAGTAGAGGTAACATTTCACATCGATAGTCCATGATTCTTATCGGGAGAAAAAAGGTGACATATGTCGGAAGTTGGCTGCTGAGCATCAGCTCAGCAGCCGTTATGACAATTTTGAGGCCGTTGGTCGCTTGAAAGGTTTTCTCCATGGAGTCACATCTTCCCATTTGTTTTGAAATCAGAGTGATTTTTGTCTTAGGCTGGCTGCCAACTAAGGCTATTTTTTCTACTCGTATTCCAAGTGATAGTGAACTGTGCAAGGTAGGGATGTTCAGCTCTCTAAGGAATTTGGTATACTCGCAATGACTTTCTGCTTTTTTTTCTTCTTCTTTTTCTTCTTGACTTCTTCTTGTTGTTTTTCATATTCTTCTTCTTGTTGTTTTTTATTTTCTTCTTCTTCTTCATCTTCTTCTTCGACTTCTTCTTTTTCTTTTTTTTCATCTTTTTTCATTTTCATCTTTTTCATCTTTTTCTTTTTCATCTTCTACTTCATTTTCTTTTCTTCTTCATCTTTTTAATCTTCGTTCTTAATCTTTTTCTTCTTTTTTTATCGTCTTTTATATCTTTTCTTCTTTTTTCACCTTCTTTTTCTTCTTCTTTTTCTTCTTCTTATTTTTCATCTTCTTGCTTTTTTATTTTCTTCTTCTTCATCTTCTTTTTCTTCTTTTTCATCTTCTTTTTCTTTTTCATTTTCTACTTCTTCATTTTCTTTTCTTCATCTCCTTTTTAATCTTCGTTTTTAATCTTTTTCACCTTCTTTTTCATCATCATCATCATCATCAACATCATCTTCTTCTTTGAGCCGTCTCCTTTCATGACGTTAGCGATCATGGCTATCCAAAATTTTCCTGTTTTTGCGCCTCTAAATAAATTTTATCTGTATGTTATCTCTCCTAATCCCTGTTTTGTCACCCACAGGGATGTGCGGGTGGCGTAATGGATAGCGAATTCTAATGAGAAATTATAGTAACTTTTATTACGTTCGTTTATGCGCAAATACCCTTGTGAAGGGTAGGAATCCATTCTAACCCCAGCTATAGGTTAAATAACAAGAGAACCTGTTTTTTTTTCTTTTAGCTGTTTATAAGAAGGGCAAGTATAAATTAAAAACCGTAATAATTGTTCATCATCCCCCTTGTCATCAGTAGCGAGAGTGAGAAGAAGCAACAGTAAAAATAACAGCTGCTCCCGAAAACATTCTCCAATCAGTTGTTATATTCGGCAAAAGCTGGAGTTTCCACAAGTGACGAACTGATTGAAATGTTTCGTTAAGGAAATATATCGCCCGGTTCACACTCCTCACCGTTCTTTTGAACAGGAATAGTAGTTTATCCCTTGTTTCGTGTTTGGGTTTTGGTTTTCTGATTCTTTCTATGGCCTTTTCATCCTGTTTCATTCCTGGTTGCCCCTTGCGTCTTAGTGGCATTATCGCCTTGCTTGGGGCGAATTCATTTAAAAAAAAAACATCAAAATTTAAGGAATTAAAAAAAAACAAAACAGTTTTGCACTCATCGAGTTCGGAGCAGAAAGTAACGGAGAAGCCAGATGATAATGATGGATCAGGTGACACCCCCTCCCGCTCTCTCTCTTGCTCTCTCTCACTTTGTCTCTCTCTACCTCTTGCTCTCTCTCACTCACACACACACTCAATCTCTCTCCCTCTCTCTCTCCCTCTCTCTCTCTCTCCCTCCCTCTTGCTCTCTGTGCTCAGCATCGGTAATCATCGCAGCTGTCATTCTCCAGTAATGTCCCCTTTTTTCAACAAAGTCCCGTTCATGACATGATCCCTTACGTTGAAGCCATTCCGGTCAGACGCCACAATGCCGTCTGTTGAAATTGCACACAATCGCAATCCTTTTGTTTTCGCCATCCGAAGATCTCTCGGCAAGATTCTACATCAAACTTTAGAATTCACTTCAAAGGAAAATGGATTTGCTCTTACCGTTTCAAAGTGAACTGAAGCTTTGGATTTCGCAATGCGTTGATAGGAGAAAAAACACAAGAAAACGCGCGATGTCGGGTTTAAAAATGACCCCCGAAAAAAAAAGACGCACCGGTTTAGAGATTTACTCGCATGATTAGCGAGTGGGGTCGAGAAACAAACATACATGATTTTTTTTTCAACGCCTCGTTCAGAAAGCAGCCTTGAAAAGTCTCATCTATGAACTTCACTTACATATATACACGTGTGTGTGTGTATGTGTGTGTGTCTTTATCTCTGTGTGTGTGTTTGTGCGGGTATCTGTGTGCGCGTGCGAGTTTTTCTCTATGTGCGTGTGCGAGTCTTTCTGTCTCTGTGCGTGTTTGCGTGTGTATGTGTGCGTGTGCGTGTGCGAGTTTTATTCTGTGTGTGTGTGTATCTGTGTGCGGGTGCGAGTCTTTCTCTGTGTGTGTCTGTGTTTGTGTATATATCAGTGTGCTTGTTCGAGTCTTTTTCTTTCTGTGTGTGTCTGTGTGTGTAACTATGTGCGTGTGCAAGTCTGTGTGTGTATCTATGTGCGTGTACGAGTCTTTCTGTCTCTGTGCGCGTTTGTGTGTGTACGTGTGTGAATGTGCGAGTTTTATTCTCTGTGTGTGTATCTGTGTGCGTGTGCGAGTCTTTTTCTCTGTGTGTGTCTGTGTACGTGTGTATATCAGTGTGCGTTCGCGTCTTTTCTGTGTGTGTGTGTGCGAGTCTGTGTGTGTATCTGTGTGCGTGTACGAGTCTTTCTCTGTGTGTGTTTGTGTACGAATCTGTCTGCGTGTGTCAGTCTTTCTGTGTGTGTGTGTATGTGCATCTGTGTGCAAGTGTGACATTTCTTTGGTTATGTGTGCATGTTTTATTGTGTGTATTTGTTAATTAGAACGTTGGATTTTTTCTGTCTGTGTCTGTGTGCGTGTGTGCTTTTCTCCGTGTGTGTGTGTGTCTCTCTCTCTCTCTGTGTTTGCGCGTTTTATGTGTATGTCTGTATTGGTGCGTGCGTATGCGGGCGTTTGTGTTTGTCTTTATATGTGTGTGTTTATCTCTGCATGTGTGTTTGTGCGCGTATTTGTGTGCTTTTCTTTGTGTGTGTTTATGTATTTTCGTTTTTTTTTGTGCGTATATTTGTGCATCTGTGTGCTTTATGGCGTGTGTCTATTAATGTGTATGTTTGCATTTACGTGCGTGCGTTCATACCTGTGTATGTGCATGCTTATGCTTGTTTATTTGTATGTGTGCATTTCATGGACGCCCCCCAAAATTTGCTGCCACCGACTAGAATCGACTGAAATTGAGGGTCGAATGCCTTTTTCGAAACTAATTTCCGCGACGGTTGATTGATTGAGTCATTTTTTACGGTTTATCAACCCCTTGCAGGTTATTTAAAGCCAGAAAATATTTTGAGTTTTTAAGATTTTTTTTTTTGGTGGGGGAGAAAATAATAATGGTTTTAGTGATACAAACTTTACTAATTAACCCATAGCTGGGGGAAGAAGCGATCGATTCATTACTCTTCCAAGGGTATTTGCGCGTATCACTTCGTGAATGCTTTATCATATAATCAATAATAATAATAATAATAATAACGCTAAGTTAAGCCATTACTGTATAAAGATTCTTTAAAAACTTTAGGTGTTTTTGCCTAATCTACCATGCTAGCTAATCGCAATCTTAAGGATTTCACTAATGAATGAAATAGTTTCAGCATCTCACTATTAAAATATATATATATATTATTAGCATGTACCACTCAACTACCTTTTCATGACACACTAGGTAATATTTATACTCAAATAGACGGTATCGCGATGGGATCTCCTTTAGGCCCCCTTTTTTCTAACTGTTATACGGCATATTTAGAAAATAAAATAGTTAATGACACTAATAAAACCCTTTTATATGTAAGATACTGTTATGGTCCAAGTTCCTTGTACCACGGTGATGGTCCAAGGTTAGAACCAATGAAAGAATGATACGAACACAGGTATGGAATACAAAGATATATTACAACAGAAATATAAGACAAAGAATTACAAGTATTAGTAATGACTATCAGATTTGGTTAGAGTGAACTATGTTGTCTCGACAAGTATCACTATTCCAATGTCCTTACAATATGCTCTCAATTATCTCTCCTCGTCTTACAATATCTCCTCATACCTCTTGAGAGGCGCAGTATTTATAATGTCAGGAATAGTCCATTATTATTATTATGGGTAAGTTCCCATAACAGATACATAGATGGCATTTTCATTTTAGTTAAAAATATTGATCAAATTACACAACTTATAAACAAATTTAAAAGTCACTCCGTACTCAAATTTACACTAGAACTTAATATTAATAATAAAATTCCATTCCTTGATGTACTTATTGATTCCAAAATAAATTTACTACTTCTCTGTATAGGAAGTCCACTAACATTAACTTAATTACAATAGTGGATGTCCCTAACGATATAAGTTAGCTGTTATAAAATCCTTAATCCAACGCAAACAAATGATATCTTCTTCCAAAACCATATTCTATAAAAAAAAATATATAACATTAAACAAACACTTGTTAATAATGGATTCCCTAATTCTGTCATTGATCAACAAATTAAAATGCCTCAATAAACTTAATAATACCTCTAACAAAATTGATAATATTAATAATAATAGTGTACATTAAAATAAACATAATACTATTAACTTATACTATATACTTATACCAAATACATAATAATTAGAAACATTATGAAACAACACTCAAAAACATAATAGGTAGAAATGTTAAACCCATTAATAATAATAATAAACAAGTAAAGCTCATCATATATTATAAAAAGTTTCAAACAATTGACCCCATAGTCTGTAAAAAAACCTACAACCACACAAGCAAATCCTCTACAAAAAAAAAACAATGTTATGTATCAATTTACATGCCCATTCAGAGATTGTATCTCTGATACTAATAATAAACCCACTACATATATTGGTTTTACTACAACCACGTTCTCTCGTAGACTTACCTGTCACCTTTCTGATCTTAGTTCTATTAAACAGCATTTCTTAGACAAATATAGCAATGTACATATTAGACACATATTGATAACACAACAATACTCATACATACACACAGTAAAAAGAACCTTAAAATATTGAGGGCCAACTCTATTAAAACAAAGCAACCCACACTCAACAAAATTACATTTCAAACCACTCACAACATATTACATTGCATTTAAACACATGGTTCTATTGATAAAATTTCTTTTTCTCAAGTGGTAAAGTACCACGTCATAGAAGTGCATTACGAATTTACGCCTGTTATTCCGCGACCGAAATATCTTTTTACTTCTATGTAAACATAACAGGATGTCATCTTTGACAGTGATCATCTCTGATGAAATGTCCATATAACCTGGCTCATGTGAGTCGAAAGCTTAGATCAAGGAAGAGCATAATAAAAAAAATCCAACTATTAGACAGTTTTTATCTTTATTTTCTTCCGAAATTGAAACAAATATACGAAGCTTCGAACGGTTCATGATCAAATATAATAGACATTCGTTGACTTATATTTAATAATATATGTTTGAAGAATGATTTTCTGCCCCAATACACTGAATATATATGGCGGACTCTCGCCTCGTTTTCGGCGTATGAGTGTCAAGCAGTTCAGTTCCTAGGAACCGACAGTCAGACACCAACACATATAATTTGATTATAGTGGTGATGGCTTTGTGCAGAACCAACCACACTTTTTGAAGGGCCACATACAGAGACCTGGTGCACTACGTTTCAAACGACTCCCCGTAGGTTTTGAATTCAGAGTTGTCCTGCTCCTAGACCAATTTCCATCCAAGGCTATAGAACCCAGTCTGCCCTGCTATTTACCCATAGCTGGAGGGAGAAGAGGATTAGTACCTTTTTTTAGCACCAATCCGAGCCGCTATCCACTACTCCACCGTGTCTCCTCTCTCTCTCTCTCTATATATATATATATATATATATGTATGTGTATGTGTGTTTTAAACACTTTGGAATGTTCGTATTGGAGCTTCCAGTGCGAATTCCAAGCACTACAGCATGCCGTTTCAAAATTTCTGGCGGAATGAATTGCATCATGTTGCTCTTTTTCTCACAAATTGGCTACTTTATACATTTAAAATATATACATATAAAATATATACACATAAAACTAAAATCAAAATTATTTTAAAAATATTGGAGCGTGATGATTTCTACTAAGCCTTTCAATATGATTAGTAAATATTTAATAATAATGTTCCCAGACTTTATGAATTCAAGCGTCCTACGAGGCTGGCATCCCGCTCTCACCCTTTCAATGTTGAAACTGTTAAATGTAGCCGTCTCTTCTACTCCAATAGCTTCATATCCCGCACCTCTCGCCTGTAGAACTGCCTCCCCTTTTCTTGTTTCCCTGATAGCTATAATCCCCAACTATTCAAATGTAATGTCAATCGACATCTCCAGTTGCCTTGATCTATCCACTATCCTTCTTCTCATACTTCTCCTCATCCTTTCCTTTATCACTCCTATCTGCTCTCGCTCCAAATCCTCTGTAACCCCTTGCGTGCTAGTGGCTTCTCGCCTTGCTTGGGGTGAAATGCTTAAAGGAAAAAAAATAAATAAATAAAAAAAAAAAAATAACAATATCACCTAACCCGTCCAGAAATATAAAAAAATTAAAACTTTATAAATTATTCTAATTAAAATTTAAAAAACAAAAATAATTCTTGTAAAAATTAATTATTCATCAAGAAAATTTTTTTTC